CGGGGCTCGAACTCCCAGACCAAGAGATCGTGACCTGGCTGAAGTAGGACGCTTAACCGACTGCGCCACCCAGGCGCCCCAATGTTTATTTATTTTTGAGAGACACATCGACAGAGTGCAAGCAGGGAAGGGGCAGAGAGAGAGGGAGATACAGAATCTGAAGCAGGCTCCAGGCTCACAGAGCCCGACGCGGGGCTCAAACCCACAAACCGTGAGATCATGACCTGAGCTGAAGTCGGACGCTTAACCGACTGAGCCACCCAGGCGCCCCTATTTTATTATTAAAAAAAAAATGTTTTTAATGTTTTTATTTATTTTGTTTTATTTATTTTTAATGTATTTGTTTATTTATTTATTTATTTATTTATTTATTTATTTATTTATTTATAATGTATTTATTTATTTTGAGACACAGAGTGAGTGGGGGAGGGGCAGAGAGAGAGATGGAGACACAGAATCTGAGGCAGGCTCCAGGCTCTGAGCTGTCAGCACAGAGCCTGATGTGGGGCCCGAATTCACGAGCCGTGAGATCGTGACCCGGGCTGAAGTTGGACGCCTAACTGACTGAGCCACCCAGGTGCCGCCCCTTATTATTTTTTAAAATTTATGCTCAAGTTAGCTAACATACAGTGGTCTTGGCTTCAGGAGTAGATTCCAGTGATTCATCACTTAAACATAACACCCAGTGCTCATCCCAACAAGTGCCCTCCTTAATGCCCCTCACCCATTTTCCCCCACCCCTCCACCCCCATCAACCCTTAGTTTGTTCTCTGTATTTAAGAGTCTCTTATGGTTTGCCTCCCTCTCTGTTTTTATCTTATTTTTCATACCCTTCCCCTATGATCATCTGTTAAGTTTCTCAAATTCCACATATGAGTCAAATAATATATTTCTTTCTCTGACTTATTTCGCTTAGCATAATAGCCTCCAGTTCTATCCACGTTGTTGCAAATGGCAAGATTTCATTCTTTTTCATCATTGAGTAGTATTCAATGTAGTAGTATTCAAAGTAGAATTGTATATGTGTACCCCATCTTCTTAACCAGGATCAGATTTTTACTTTATTTTTTAATGTTTTAAGTTTATTTATTTTGATAGAGAGCGAGAGAGAGCACAAGCTGGGGAGGGGCAGAGGGAAGGAGAGACAGAATCCCAAGCAGGTTCCATGCTATCAGCGCAGAGCCCGACGTAGGGCTCAAACTCACATAATGTGAAATCGTGACTGGAGCTGAGATCAAGAGTCAGATGCTTAACCGACTGCACCACCAGGCACCCCAACCAGGATCAGATTTCAAATGGAGACAGACACATTTTACTGGCAAGCTTGCAAAGCACAGGTACCAATTTGCAGTGTGGCCACAGTCCATGCAAGAGGTGTTGCAAACCTGAGCTGGGGAGGTGGCAGTAGGGATGGAGAGAAGAGGATGGACTAGAGACTTACTTAGGAAGTGAAACAGCAGAACTCAGTCGACTGGATAGAGGAAGGAAGAGAAATCTAGAAATGACTTTCTGGTGTCTGGCATGAATGACTGAATATCACAATCATTCTGGTACAATTCGTTCAGCTAGAGAACACAACTGGAAGAATAAGCTTGATGTTGAGTTTGGGGAATCTCTGAGATACACAGATGTTGGGGTTACTTGAGCCTGAAGCTGAGGAGAGAACTCCAGTTTGGAAATTCGGGAGTTATCAAATACAGGCAGCAACTAAAACCTTGTGAGTAGGTAAAGGATGCCCACAGAAGAGTGGAGGCTCAGTCCTGGGGACTGTCCAAGCTCAAGGGCAGGCGGAGCCAGAGGAGCCCACCAGGGAGAATGAAGAGTGATTGATGAGGTTGGCAGGACCACACCCGGCAGGGATTGGATGTGCTGGGGAGCTGGGAGAACATCAGGGCACAAGAGGGAAGCTGGAGAAAGAGACGCATAGGAATCAAGCCAGCCACGGACAGAGAGGAGCTGAGTTTTACCACAACATTAGGTGAAGTTGGTGGGAAGAAAAGACCACAGAGGTGGATTGGGACTGGCTCCTGGCAGACTCGATGCCACCCGTGGAGTTGAACTTAGGGGTAGGCAATACAGATTCTGAACGTTTCTGAATGTTCACCATTAGGCAACACATTGAAAGTGGAAATCTTCCCAGTGCGTATTAATGAGCCCCGGGAGCAGCGTGGAGCATTCTAGAAAGTACAGGACTTCTGGGATTTGGTCCTGACTCTGACAGCAACAAGTTCTGCTTCTTGTTGCCTCAGTTACTCTCTCTGTAAGATGGGAAGTTCTTTTTGGCCTTATTCCAACTCTCCAGCTGAGCTGGGGGAAGACATACAAAATCTGAGCAAAAGGCTCTGATGATTCTTGGCTTTTCTGCTGCTACCACCCACCATGAGCATGTGGTGGTTGGGTTTCCTGGCAGCAGAGCTGTAGAGAAGGTGCCGTCTGTTCTCCCACCCACACCTGAAACCCTTTCAACCAAACCCATCTCAGTCTCGGAAGATACAGGATCTTCAGCAGAGGAGGGAAGACATTCATTTTGGGTTGGTCAGTGAGGCTTAGAAGCACAGATTAAATCACTCCCCAAACCACAGACGCTGTGTCGCAGGAGTTGCATGGTCCCGGGACCCTAGAAATCAGAGGGTTGGGAGACTCTGGACAGTCTCTGTGGGCTTCTAGCCAGTACCAACAACAGAGGATACTGGGTTGTACCCCATGACTTGGAGCTGCTGTCTATTTATGGTCTATATAGTCAGCATGGAAAGGTTTCCAGCATCAAAATATTGTACTTGGCTGATAATAGGTTAGGAATTTGGTTCTCAGCATTGGTTGCACTAGAATCAAACTCTCTGAGTCAGGAAAGGGCTTGGTTATTTACAAAAAAAAAGGGGGGGGGGCGAGTCACTGGCAGCTTAGACAGCCTGAAAAACAGCAGAAGTAAAGTTGTGGCTGGGGTAAAGCCAAGGGAACCCATTTCAAGGGCCACTCTACAGTGGTGCATTCAGTAACTCACGACTGAGCATGATTTGTATAGATGAAAGTAGGGGATGAGACACAGGGTTGTGCCCTCCTGGAATTCAGTCTACCCAGGACAGATTATGTTGATTCAGGCCCTCCTGCTTGATGCATATGCTGTTCCCTCTACGTGGGATGCCCTTCCCTTTCTTTGTTCCCTCTGCCTGCACTGCAGGTATTTGTATCATCTTCCAAGGAGTGATAATATATTCTGATGTGCGTAGGGCACTTAACAGTTTATGGCATCTTCTCAAGTACTTAGTTCACTTCACCCCCCACTGAAGCCTTGCAAGGTGGGAGGAATCAGGCTCAGAGTGAAGCAATGCCCAAGGTTGTTCAACTGGCCAGAGGCAGGGGAGACACAACTCAAGGTGTTCTGATTCTTAGTTCAGGGCAGGGCAATCCTCTGGGTGATGGTTCCTCCTGAATCCCCTGCAGATCTGTGTGTATACTGTGTACTCCTAATGCCTGTGTTTTGCGTCCTGGGGCAGACAGGGTTTTTCCTGCCTCTTTTGTGTTGACCACCAGGGCCGTGAGGAAATCTTGCCTAGTGGTGACCCTTTTTTTCTCCTTCCTTCCCTCTACTGCCCAGCAAACTGGAAGGAGGTTTTACTGAAATATATCAGCCCTGACCAGCTGCCTATGGAGTATGGGGGTACCATGACTGATTCTGATGGAGACCCCAAGTGCAAATCCAAGGTAGGGGACTGCATGCCCCCCGCCGCGTAGCCCATAGGGCTAGGGGATCGCCCGGGAAGCCTGGCTCAAATGCCCATTCCAGTTCATTCTGTGTTCTGCTTCTAGATTAACTACGGGGGTGACATTCCGAAGAAGTATTATGTGCGAGATCAAGTGAAACAGCAGTATGAGCACAGTGTGCAGATTTCTCGTGGCTCCTCCCACCAAGTGGAGTATGAGATCCTCTTCCCTGGCTGTGTCCTCAGGTAGTGCTCTGGACCCTAGGAGACAGCCTGTGCCTTTGAGCCAGTGGGTGGGCCGGGCTGGGAGAAGCCCTGAGGGCAGGACCCCAGAGAGTGCACACATGGACGGAATCGCGTCTCAATGGGTGGATGTCTCCTGCAGGTGGCAGTTCATGTCAGATGGTTCAGACATCGGTTTTGGGATTTTCCTGAAGACCAAAATGGGGGAGCGGCAGCGGGCAGGGGAGATGACGGAGGTGCTTTCCAACCAGAGGTACAATGCCCACCTGGTCCCTGAGGATGGGACCCTCACCTGCAGCGATCCTGGCATCTGTAAGTCTTGGCTTAGAGCCCCTGCCCTAGCTGTCTGCCTGTGAGGTCCCTCTTTCTCCATGGGTTTATGCTCTCAGACTGTTAGAACTAGACATAGGGCTCCATCAGATCAACCCTCTCCTGACATAGATAAGGAAACCTAGGCTTGGACAGGTACAATGACCAGGTGACCCTCCTGGTTAGCAGCAGGGTGGGACTCTGACCAAATACTCCCAGGTAGAGATGAGTCCTGGTGCTAGGTGATCACAAGGTTCAGAATATTTGCTATCTGGTTCAAGACTAACTGGATCTATGACTGTCATCAGACATTTCTTGGGGATGTTCCTCTCCCCAGACATCAGAGAGGCAGAACTTGCCTGGGTGGGTGCAGGGATCCCCGGGTGAGCGATGCTGAAAAGCCCAGTCTTGATCCCTCTGAGCTTCATTTATCTCCACCTTGATCAAAAAAAATGGGCACAGACCATGAATAGGAAGTTTGGGCAAGAGGAATAAGAATGGCAAACAGGCATTTGAAAAAGTGTTTGACCTCACTCAACTTTGTAGTATCTATTAAAATTCCCTTTTAGCAATTCTAATTCTGGAAATTTAGTCTACAGGAATGTTTATACAAAGACACAAGGATATAGGTACAGGGATGTTCCTAGCAGTCTGGGAAACTGGCAATAAACTAAATGGCCTTAATAAGATCTCGTTAAATGAATTATGGTCCATGCATACGCGTATATGGAACACAATATACACATTAGAGGGAATAAATTGACACATAAGATGTCTGGTACATGTTTTAAAAAAAACAAAGAGTGAAGCATAGCATATGGTATACACTCTGCTTTTTTTAAAAACATGTATATTAAAAATAATTCTGGGGAATAGTGGTTATCTCTGAGATGGTAAGAAGCTTATAGAGGGCTTTAATTTTTTTACATGAGTTCTGCAAATAGTTATTTTACAATGACCATGTACTACATTTATAAGTAGAAAAACTACACACACACACACACACACACACACACACACACACACACACAGACACACACACACTTCCCTTCCAGTCTCCAGTTTCCTTTCTATTAGAGCCAATGGGCCAGGCATGGAAAGTCAATGAGAGCAAGGGCTTTATCATTAAGCCACTTGGATTTGACTATAGACTAGTCCTTAGGCAAGTGACAGCCTCCCCGGGCTTCAGTTTCCTGATTGCTAACTGGGGATCAAACTCTCTACCTCATGGGGATAGGTCTGTGCAGCACTTAGCATAATGCTTGGCATACAGCAAGCACTTAACACACTGTAGTCACCATTATTATTATTAGGGCAAGACCTGGCAGGGAGAAGGGCCATCCTGGAGATGGTGTTGGAGACGGGAGAAGCCCTGTGCCCCATTTCTAGGGCAGCATCACCAGGAGATCTGAGCTAGCCCCCAGATGCCTCACAACATCATCCTGATCTCAGATGCCGTGTACTTCCCCACATGCCAGGCAATGTTCAGTCTCTACAGCCCTTTCCTCAGATGCTCTGTGGTATGGCTCCCCACGGAGGAGGAGTATTCTTGTTAGTGAGCAAGCAGCTAGGTCCTTGGAGGAGAAGGCATATTACTACATGCTTCAGTAAGAACAAGTCCTAGCACACCAGCCCAGATACTATAATCCACAGAGCATAAAGTATTTTGTATATAAGCTTCAATTTTTTAAAAAAAGTTTGTAAAAATGTTTTATTTATTTTTGAGAGAGAGAGGGAGAGAGAGAAAACAAGTGGGGGAGGGGCAGAGAAAGAGGGAGACACAGAATACAAAGCAGGCTCCAGGCTCTGAGCTGTCAGTACAGAGCCCGATGTGGGGCTCAAACTCAGGAACCATGAGATCATGACCGGAGCCGAAGTCAGATGCTTCCCCGACTAAGCCACCCAGGTGCCCCAAGCTTGAATTTTTTAAAATATTTTTTTAACTTTATTTATTTTGAGAGAGAGAAAGAGCGAGCAAGCCAGGGAGGGGCAGAGAGAGAGAGAGAGAGAGAGAGAGAGAGAGAGAGAGAGAGAGAGGAGAATCCTAAGTAGACTCCATGCTGTCAGTGCAGAGCCTGATGCAGAGCTCAATCTTACAAACCATGAGATCATGCCCTGAGCCAAAACCAAGAGTTGGACACTTAATCAACTAAGCCACCCTGGTGCCCCAACTTGAATTTTTTTTAATGGACGGGGAAGCTGAGGTATAGAGAAGGGATGTCACCTCTCCCACAAAGTAGCTTATATGAACACCAAAAGACAGAGGACATGAGGCAATCCTAGAGTCCTGGTCCAGATCTCTAGGCCATAGCTATCTTAGAGATGATCAGGTCTGCCCCGATGTTACAGAACAGAGAGTGGAGTCCCAGACCAGGGAAGTAATTTACCCAAATTCATGCAGCCAACAGCAGTGCCCCACCCATTTTCCAGCAGTGCTCATTACCAATTATAGTACCGGAAGGACACAGCCTGAGAGAGGACCAGGAACCTTATAACATAACCAGGCTTAGGTTTGCAAATCCCAAATATATTTTAGCTCTTCTTGGATACATTCCCAGATGGAACGTTTATCGGCCTGTGGGGCCTTGACTGCCGCTTCTTGTCCATTCCAAGGAGGATTAGAGGCAGGTCAGGGCATCCACCTCCCAGGTGTAAAGACAATGAGGTGGGATCAGCTGTTGTCTGGAGCCGTGGCTCAGGTTAGACCTGAGCCCAGAGAGAATGCAGTATTAGGTTACAAACTTACCTGTGGGAGGGCAGTGCCCTTGGAGAGCCAGGTGACCCCCTGCAAAGTGGAACATAATCGCTCAGTGGAGAAATTAAAACTCTGTGCCAGCCTCCAGTGGTAAGAACACATTAATCCTCCCCAGGCCACACGGGTCCTTGCCCAAGTGTACTTAATGGCTGAGAAGGAGAAACAAAGTCTGAATTGATTTCACTTATTTTTTTTCTCAACTAAAATTTCCTGAGGGCCTGAGTTTAGAATACTTGGAAAGAAGATTCAGAAGAAAAGATATAGACTTTGTCTGCCAGGAGTACTTAACATGGTCTAGAAGACCTAAAAGACTAGATGAAGGTTCAGCAGTACTTCCAGGCAGTGTTGGGAGAAGAGAGTCTTGGGGAGAAGAGAGTCTAGCCAGGCTCCAGGAGGCTTGGTTTCTGAGTCCCCCTGTGCCACCAACTCTCCAAGTGTTTTGGGCAGGTGTCTCTAAGTAGTTTTTGCTTTCCTCCTCTTCCCCCTCCCCCTCCCCCTCCTCCTCCTTCTAAGTTTATTTGTTTATTTTGAGAGGATGAGCAGGGGTGGAGCAGAGAGAGGGAGAGAGAGAATCCCGAGCAGGCTCTGCAGTGTCAGCACAGAGCCCCATGTGGGGCTCGATCCCACGAACTGTGAGATCATGACCTGTGCCAAAGTCAAGAGTTGGCTGCTTAACTAAGCCACCCAGGTGCCCCAGCTTTTGCTTTCCTTCTTAAAATGAGGGGAGTGGGCTAGAGCAGGAGGTCTTTTTTTTTTTTTTTAATTTAATTTTTTAAGTAGGTTCCATGCCCAACATGGGGCTTGAACTCACATCCCTGAGATTAAGAGTCACATGCTCTACCAACTGAGCCAGCCAGGCTCCCCTAGAGCAGGAGGTCTTAATCTGGGGTTTGTGGACTCCCCATAGATGTGACTGTGAATCTTAAAAGACCAAACCACCTCCCTTTTATAACATAGAGTGTCTAACATCCCCTTTTCTATTCTCAAATGAAATTCATGGATAATATAACCCATCTAAACACATGATTTAAAAAGCAATATAATCTCCCACTGGGAGAAATAAAAGGAAGTTAATTTAGAATATATATTTGTTTCCATACATAAACGAGAGGGCATGATTACACCCATGTGCTGAGACTCTTCAGAATGGTGCCTTTCCCATTGGGACCCCCTGCCCCCAAGGGTCCATGATGGGGTCCAGGGGATCTGAAGTTGTATGATTTCATCAGATTCTCAAGGGGCCAGTTCCCCAACAAAGGTTGAGGAGCCCTAGCCTGGAAGGATCTCTGAGGGCCCTACAGGCCTGTGAGTACATGATTAGTGTCAAAATGAACCATGTAGTTCATGAATTCCACTTCCCTTGGGCCTGGGCCTTAGAACAGCCTCTTCCTTGTTTCTGAGAGCAAAATATAATACAAGGCAGAGCCATCTTGATCCTGGTGCTTGGTCCAAGGAGCTCAGACCTTTCCTCTAGCATGACTGATTCTAGTTGCTAGGGCTCTGTTGTCCAGGACAGTGAGGCAGTGTCTCTCTTTCCGGAGGGACTACTGGTTCTGAAAAACCTCTGGTGCAGAGAGAAAATCAATGAGTAATACTTCCTTCATACCGTGAAAAAAGTGTGGGTGGAGTGTCTACTCAAGGTCTAAACTATGTATTTTATTTAGGGGCAGGAAAGAGGAGAGGTTAATTTTCAGGATTAAATATACTTTTTTTTGGGGGGGGGGGGCTTGTTCTAAGTTTTTATTTTTGCTGGGAAAAGCGAGAGAAGTCCTGGATAGGGAAAGGGCAGAGTGAGTGTTTTTGTTCTCACACTCTGTTCTCTTGAAGGGGTACTTGACTGAAATGGAACAACTTCTCAACAACAACAAAAAAAAGGGTTAGATTAAAAGCAGTCTGTTCCTCGGCCAAGGCTTCAAAGCCTTCTCTGCCAACTGCATGCCCACTTTGAGTTTTCCTAATCATTTATGATTACAAACAGGGGCGAAATGAGCATCTTTGTCCATTTATTTGGGACAAATTCACTGGGATGAATTCCTGGTTCAAAAATTCTGTGTATTTTTTACCTTGGCCAGAAACTGAACAGGGCTCGTCTTTTTCCAGGGCCCAAGGCAGGCAACAATGCAGACCAGAGGGAAATTGCAGCTCTATCACCTCACCATGTGACACAGTGACCTCCTTTTTATACCCTATAAAGCAGGATTAATACTGAATTCATAGTTACTTGCAGCAATAGTCTAGTAGTATATATAGATTACCAAGCCAGGGCTGAGACACATAAGTAGGCATTTTCCCATAACTATTATTATTTTGACAACTACTGCTGCTACTAATTCTGCTATGCCATTTCAAGGCCCAGTTCAAGTTCTAACACCTCTGAAAAGCCTTTTTACATGATTTCAGTCAATAGGGCCCTCTCCTTCCAAGCTGTTAACAGATATGGTTGTCTCTCTTACTCATCTGGCGCTCGGCATGTTCTGTCTCATATATTTTTTTCTCTCTGTGAATATCTTGTCGACCCAGCTTGATTTAAGTGTCAGAAGGTGAAGGACCATTGCTTATGCCACCTTCATCCTCATTATGGACCACACTGCCTTGTTCAGTCAACAAAACTCGCTGCCCTTTGTTAGAATTGCCTGAATGTCTGGTTTTCTGCCTCCCCTCAGATGTCCTGCGGTTTGACAATACCTACAGCTTCATTCATGCCAAGAAGGTCAGTTTCACTGTGGAGGTCCTGCTTCCAGACAAAGCCTCAGAAGAGAAGATGAAACAGCTGGGGGCAGTCACCCCAAAGTAATGCCTCCTCCCACAGAAGGCCTGGCTCCCTCAGTGTCTCCCTGTCAGTTTCTGTCCCTTGTAGCAGTCATTTGCCCAGTATCCAGATGCCTCCCAAAAAACTGGGCTACAAGAAAGACCCTGGGCTGGATTTGGGAAACTTTCATTTCAGAATTAGGAAGAGGGAGAGTAGCAGGAGAGGGTCCCCTTGCCTCTCAAATTGCTAAGAAGTCCCAGGGGCTGGGCACCATGATAGGATCTACCATCCTATAAGCTGTGCCAACTTTACCTGTCCAGTGACAGCTGAGACAGGAAGTGAAAGGGGGGGGGGGAGATGGGGGTGGCAGCAGGGAAGAAATTAGAAAAGCGGGGAGAGATTGAGACCTAACACTTCGGGGAAGCCAGCTGTAGGGGAGGAACTTGTTCCCAAATGAAAATGTTAAGTCTAGATCATAATGAGGAGTATAGCAAGGTAGCAGGTTGCTAGAGTTATGGTGGGGGTCAAAAACTCTTCTAAACTTTCTATCACCAAGGCTGGGATCTTTTGGCTTTGCCTACCAGGTCTCAGAAGATGGTCTGAGTCAGTGTAGATCTTCCCACTCAGGGGTAGACAGGAAGGCCACCTTGAGATTTTTGCAATTCTTGGGACCCACTGGCTGTCTCTTTAATTACTGATTGTCAGTGACTCAGCTTCTCAGGACAGTGAGATTTGGTGCCCAGCCACTGTCCTCCAACGTAAACAAAGCACAGGGAAATTACCTCCAGGGATCCCAGCTCCATGATGGGCCAGGGAGGTTAGGGGTGGGGGTGAGTCCTGAGGCTTCCACCCCCCCCCCTTTTCAGTGCTGCCGGCCTCTCATCAAGTTAACTCTCCATTTGAGCACCCCACACAAAAATGACAAGTGGGCTCAAAACAGTAGATCTCAGTGAGTGCATTTCCCAGTCTGAGTCTCCCACGGTGCCGGCCAGGCCGGTTCCTGACTGACCTCAGCAATGCTTTGGCAGTCCCATCTCTGTGGGAGGCATTCGGCTGGTGCATTGGGTTCCTGGTGTCTGGCGGGGAGGCTGCCCGGGCAGGGGGCCAAAGCCCGGGCCAGCATCTGGGGGCAGCCACAAACGGCCTCACAGGTCCCCAGCCCCTCCATCCACAGTGCCGAACAGGGGGCGCTTGGCGACCAGGGACTGGAGGGCACGGACCCTGGGGGCAACCACAGCACTTAACACCACGCCCTGCAAACGAACACTGGAAAACGAACCCGCCTGGGCCCTCGCAGGGACTGCTTTCCCTCCGAGACCCAGGCCCCGGCCCAGCGTGGGGAGATGGTCTGGTGAAACTGAGTAGGGGCTGGGCTGCGTGGACAGCAGCCAGACCGCTTGGCAGGGGTCACCCGACCTTGGTTTACAACGCTCTGTTAGGAAAATTAACCAATGAATAAAGCAACATTCAGTGCACAGGAAGTGGAAATCAATGCCCGCCGCCTCGCTCCTCTCTGCCCCTCCCTCAGAACGGCAAATTTACGCCTCAGCAGCACCTAGCCGGCAATAGGTGGGGCGCATGCGCAGAAGTCACCCGTTACTTCCCTCTGGCGCGCGCTTTCCCTTGGGGCCCAACAGCCAGCTTGCCTCCAGGCTGGCCCAGCCCGTTGCTGTCTTCCGCCATCTTTGTTAAGGGCACCAGGGCCCGCTACTGGCCGCCTTCAAGGTCAGGGCGGAGGCCCCGCCCCACTCGGTCCCTCGTTACGCGCCGGAAGGTTCTTGCGCGCTGTTAAGTACGGGTTTAGGGAGTGCGTGCAGCGCCTGTGGTGGGCCCGGGGGGGGGGAAGCGGACGAACGACGCTCACGTGGTGCTAGGGACCGTCTCCTAATTCCGCGTCAGCATTACCGATGTTTCCGGGGCTGGAGATCCCTTTGGGCCCAAGCCCAGCTTCCTGCGAGGTCACCGCCAACCGGCTGACCTACACGACCGAACGATGACAGAGACGGCCAGGGCTGAAAATGGGGCCCTTAATATTGAATCAGTGGTCTTTATTTTCTCTGTCTTTATTTAATGACAATAAAAGCTAATTCTTTAATGAGCGCATACTAGGTACCATGCAACAACCCTGTGCTTCGTTAGGGCCCTGGGTTGTTGCAGAAATTCAAGGAAATTACGTGCAAAGCGCTTAGAAGAGAGCCTTAACAAGTGAGTGCTCAGTAAATACTGACTACTCATAAATTTTACTGACGTGGCTAATAGGTGGCACAACTGGGATTGAACCCAGGACTACCTGCCTTTAATGGCTGCATCTTCGCTGGCAAAATCCAAAGGATTCAGAGCTTTAGTGAAGTGCACTCATTGCCCACATGAGTAAACAGAGGTCCAGCTGGGGAAGAGTTTCTTAGTAACCACTACCCCCCCAAGACCACACTCTGTTCTGCTCATTTCCCTGAAGTCTTGTTTCCCTTGACTCATTCATTCGTTCGTTCATTCATTCATTCATTCAAGGTCCTGCCCCCAGGAAGCTTGGTCTGAGGGTTATATGGATCCAGTTAGAACCCAGAGCTTGATAAATGAACATGGCACCTGCCAGGAAGGCACACCAAATACCCACCTCTCCAGGTCGCTCACCATTCACTCCCCAGACTCATTAACTCAACTCCCCTTAAGAGCGTGGAATCTGGAGCCACACGGCCTGGATTCAAATGCCAGCTTCACCACTTAGCTGTATGACCTGGAAAGTGACCCATCTTTTTTGTGCCTCTATTTCCTCATCTGTAAAATGGGGGTCCCAGGTTGGTGGGAGGCTTTAAGAAAGTAATCTCTCTAGAGTCTTTAGTCAATGGTCTGATCAGTAAACTTAACAAATGGTTACCTAAAAATAATCCTTGCAACTGTTCGAGGAGTAAACATTGTGTTCCGCATTTAATACATTAATACATTAATAAAATGAGGCTTAGCGAAGTACAGCCTATTGCCTGAGGTCACACAGCTATGAAGTGTAATTAGGAAGTGTAGCTTCCCGCATTTGAACCCCCTTCTCTTAGGCTCCAAAACTAGTCAGTCAGTCGTGGGAAAGGACTGCGCCAACCGCTCAAACCCAGAAAAAACGTGAAGAAAATTAATCTGTAAAGCCCAAGCCTGGGAGAGGGGCTTCAGTGCGCGGGGTAATTTGCAGACGCTCCCTGCTGGCGGGGACAGCGCGACCTGTCCTTCAGTCCCGGACCTTCAGCCGGTCCTGCCGCGGCTGATTGGAGCGGTAGTGGAAGCTGAAGTGGTATCGGCGCAGGACCGGCTGCAGTGGCTGGTGCGGAGGTGGAAGCGCCATGTCCGAGCCGCCCCCGCGGGGTGCTGAGCGCGACATTTTCCGAGACACGTGGGTGCGGTACCTAGGTGAGAGGGGGCCGGGGGTGCGCGAGGGGCTCGGCGACCCCTCACCATGTGGCTGGAGAGGTAGGGGTCGCCAGACGCTGGTCAGGGGCCTGGAGAAGGTGGAAGGATCTTAGTTCTCATTCTGCCTGGGCCAGAGACTGGGCTCAGAGAGGGCTAGGGACTTGCCCAGAGTCACACAGCTCAGGTCGGCCCACCCCTGCCCTCGGGGTCTGTCTGTACAGATCAGTCTCCCAGGTGTAAGCTCCAGACGGGCTAGGAGGAACGGGGGAGGGGGGGGGTACTGGCTGTAGAGTCAGATTATGGGGCCTCATACCGATTCAGTTTGACTCTTGGTTTTCTCAGCATAAAGGAATGAACGCAGCGTCTCTCTCATGGGGTGGTAGTTGTAAGGGTTGAAAGAGATAAGGCACAGGAAAGGCCTGGCACATGGTGAGTACCTCATCAGGGAACTTGCTCTTAGTCTCTCCATTAGTGCTCATGCTTCTAGAACCCAGACTGGGAAGGCAAGTGAGTGATGACAATGATGACTGTACTCAGCGCTCCCACAATGGCCCTAGAATGGAGGTGGGTTTCATGGATGCCTCTTTATAGACTGGGAATCCAAAGCTCGGAGAAGTAAAATCACTTACCTAAGGTCACCCAGCTCCTCCTTAGCAGGCTGGGAATTAGGACTAGTGCCCCCTTGTGGAGCAAACCATACCCACTCCTACCCCTGGAATTAAATGTCTCCTCTCCAACAGGCTATGCCAATGAGGTGGGAGAGGCATTCCGCTCCCTGGTGCCAGCGGCTGTGGTGTGGTTGAGCTATGGTGTATCCAGCTCCTACGTGCTGGCGGATGCCATTGACAAGGGCAAGAAGGCAGGAGATGTGAGTGTTAGCCTGCCTCTCAACCCCCGACCCTAGTCCACTCCCTTGTGATTTAGTCCCCAGCCTTGCATATGGTAAAATCCCTTGTGGGACAGTCCAACCCCTACAACCTTGCCTGGTGCAGTCCATACCCCCATCCTGTTTGTAGGGTGCTACATCCTGCCCCCAGCCCTGAATTGGTACAGTCCAGAACCCGACACCCCCAACCAGCCACTTCCCTCCCCTGGTCCAACCTCATGCCCCTTGTCCACAGCGTTTCCCACCTCTGCCCTGCTGGATGAAGTATCTCTTGTCCCTACCAGGTACGAAGCCCTGAAGCAGGCCGCAGCACCAGGGTGACTGTGGCTGTGGTGGACACTTTCGTGTGGCAGGCTCTGGCTTCTGTGGCCATCCCAGGCTTCACTATCAACCGTGTGTGTGCTGCCTCTCTCTACATCCTGGGCACTGCCACCCGCTGGCCTCTGTCCATCCGCAAGTGGACTACCACTGCACTGGGGCTTCTGGTCATCCCTGTTATCATCCACCCCATTGACAGGTGAGTGCCCCTTCCAGCCTCAGGGATCATCCACTCTACAGGTGGAGATAAGCTCTGAGAGACATGGTGTCCCCACTTTGCACACAACAGTAGCAGCAGAGGCAGGGCTGGCACTCAGGACTCCTCAGGTAGAAAGGACAGTCTGTGTCCTCGTCATATGATCCTGGCAGGTACTTTGGCAGTAAACATAAGGAGGATGCCTTGAGGGTATGGGACACAGGACCAGTAAGTTCTAGAAAGAAAACCTAGTGTTACAAAACAACCGGAGGCAGGCAGGAACAGGTGCGCATTGGAGGGGATGGGTTTGGGGAGATTTTGGTGACAGGAGCCCACCTGAAACTGGGCCAAGTAAAATAAGAATTAATTGCTTCATGAAAT